GCGCGCGCGCAAGAGAGAAAGAGAGAGAGAGAGAGAGAGAGAGAGAGAGAGAGAGAGAGAGAGAGAGAGAGAAAAAGGGCAAACTCGACCACGTGGAGGCGCGCGGGGACATCGACGGCGCAGCGCGGCAGCGGGCGGAGGCTTCAACAACGCGGAGCGGCGACGAAGACCACGACGGCGCGCAGCGGGACTAAATTTTGAACGTGCGTTCAATTCTATAAACGCGCGTTCAATTATTTTGAACGCGCGTTCAATTCTATGAACGCGCGTTCAAAGAATTGAACGGCGTCTGGGGGGGGGGGGTGCGGGTTCTATCAGCTCTGAGCGTGGCGCCGCGTTGTCGGCACAGTGGGGGGTGCGTGGCCGACACAACAGGGGCAGGATGGGGGTGGCCCGACGAGGCCTTGTGCGGGGAGGGACGCCGACGGGAGTTGGACCTTCGTGGGAGTGGCTGAGGGCGGACCGCTTCGGTGAACCCATCGGCGAGCGGGCACGATGCCGCGAAGTCAGGCTCGCGTGTTTGAGGATGGCGGGGAGGACGAGAATCGGAAGGCGCAGAAGAAATGTTGCGTGTACAAGTACATCCGCGTGGGACAGAGTCTCGGCGAGAGATTCCACGACAATCACATGTTGAAGTGCGTTTTCTGCGGCCACGAGTTCCAGGGCAACCAGTTCGTGGCAGCGCGCCATCTCCGCCAAGGCAAGGGATGTCCGGAAGTGACCGACGAGGCACTTGTCCACATCCACTACAACAGTGAGTACAAGATGTCCGACAAGTTCCTACAGCGGATCCAGCAGTTTGAGGAGCTTCACGGTCCGTCGTCTGCGATGGATCCGCGACGGGACGAGGGGGGGGAGGAGAGATGAGGGACGCGGAGGAGCCGATCGACGTGCACGACGACGTCGAGGAGGTTGCGCGGGCGGGGTCATCAGGGAGGGAGCGAGGGAAGGGCGTTGTCAGCGAGCCGGGGGGGCAGCAGGGCCAGTACTTTGCATCGGCGCACGTGTCGGTTCGTACACGGGCAGGTGCGGATACGGCTGAGGTGGGTCCGTCTGCGGGGAAGAGGAAGGAGAGAGAGGAGGGGGCGCGACCGACGGCAGCAGCCGCAGCACAGCAGAGGCTGAGGCAGAACACGATCACGGAGTCATTCTCTTCAAAGTGGTAGATGGAGTTCAAGAAGAGGTGGCTGCGGTTTGTGTACATTCAGCGCCTGGCGTTCAACGTCTTCCGGAGCGAGCCGTGGTTGGACGTCGTCCGACACTTCAGGGATTTGTCGGGGCCAGTGAAGGTGTTGTGGCCTTCAAAGAACGAGATTGTGGACATAGAGACCATTGTCCACACGGCGGGCGATGTGGGAGCTGATCTCGCGGAGGTTAGGGCTCCTTTCTATGTCACGGGGGCCACCATTATGTCAGACGGAAGGAAGTCACGCGATGCTAGACCCATCGTTAACTTCCTTGCCGGCGGGTCGTGTGGTGTGATGCTCGTCAGGACGATGAATAGGGAGGGTGAGCGGGATCGGGCGCCTGATGTGTTGGCGCACTGGATCAAGGTGTTCGATGACTTTCCCCCTAAGTGGGTGAACGCCATCTGCACCGACTTCACCTCGGCGTACGTCACCGCGGGGAACATGCTCCAGGGGCCCCAGCAGAGGCCAGAGCATCAACGGATCACGTGGCTCCCATGCGCAGTGCATGTCTGCAACAAGATGTTGTCAGACATTGGCTGTTCGGGCTCGTGGTCCAAGGACATCATCATGAGGGGGAGAGCGGTGGTGTGCTTCATTAAGGAGCACGACGCCGCTCTCCATATTTTCCGGGGGGAGAGCAGTCAGATGGGCCTCATCTATCCTTGCGAGACACGTTTCGCATCCGTGTTCGCGATGGTGGAGCGTTTGCTGGTAGTGAGGTCAACTTTGGAGAGGATGGTGGATCGCGATACTTGGGGTATGGTCCCTTGGGACCATTCCGTTCGTCGCTTGGCTAGGTGGGTCAGGTGGCAGGTGCGACATGGCAGTTGGTGGGATTCCATGGGCATCTTGTTCCGTATCATGGAGCCTGTGTACGACCTGCTGCGCAGGTTGGACCGCGGAGGGCTGCATATGTCGCGGGTGGTTGAGTGGACACAGGATCTGGCCCGCCGTGTACCAGAGGACGCACTTCCGGCAGATCTTGCACACTACATTGTGCAGAGGGTGCAGGCTCGATGCGCTCACATGCTGGAGCCGGCGCACGCCGCTGCTCACCTTCTCTGTCCCAACCGGAGGGACTTACAGTACTTCGAGGGCGTGGTCAGCGACTACGACGCGAGCTTGGTGAGGGAGGTGGAGACTTACATCTTGTCGCAGACAGGGTTCAGTGTGGCGAGCCACGACTACGAGACCGCATGTGCGCAGTTGCGTGACTTCCACACATGGAGGGGGACGATTGCTTGGGGGGGGGGGAGACGGAGAGAGAGATGCACAGAGGTGCACGGGCAATGCGGAGACGTACGAGTCCAGGTGTTGGTGGTCGAGGTACGGGCAGTGCGCTCCGCAGTTGCAGGTTATCGCTCTTCGTGTGATGTACATGTGGACGTGCTCCTCTTCTGCGGAGAGGAATTGGGTCGTCCACGAGGGTGTACAGACGAAGAAACGTAACCGGCTTGAGTTCGAGAAGGTCGCGAAGTTGGTTGAAATCTCAGCCAACGTCCGCCTTCTCTCTCATCACCGGGCAGGCCGCGGGTTCGCGCTGCCGTGGACTCTAGATGAGTCATTGTTGGACGTGGAGGGAGGTATCGGGATTCGCCCCTCGTGGAAGGGGACGGACGAGAGCAGGACGCGGGAGGAGCTCGAGGATCAGAGACGTTCATGGCAGCGAGACCCATGTGGGTCCAGAGCTCCTTCGGGTGATGTGGGCGATGTTTTTGGGACTCGAGCCGCCACATTGCACCCGTACCCTCGAGACGACAGTGATTCTGAGGGTGACGAGGACGAGGACGAGCCGGCGGGCCCTGCTACCGCCACTCCTGCGGCGGATGAGCGTGATGAGTGGAGCGACCTAGAGGACGTCCGTAGACGGAGTGGTAGAGATGACCTGTTCGTTCCAGTTGATTTGGAGGAGTCTGGGGGTCGTCATGGGAGCCATGTAGAGCGTCCGAGGCCTACGTCCACTAGCCCGCTTCCCGCTGAGCGGGAGAGAGATCCTGGGTCTGCACCTTCGAGGGGGCAGAGTCGGGGATTGGCCATCGTCCTCTGGGTCGCTCTAGCACGGCATCATCCACCACTCTTCCCACTTCGACGGAGGAGCTTCATCGACAGCCAGCCGGTGCAGATCGATTGCATAGATTGGTGAGGGGCCCGAGACAGCAATTGGAGGACAGATTAGAGGGCGGTCCTTCACCGGTGAAGGGGGACGACGGAGATAGACAGGGGTTGGTTGGTGGAGATGGTGGTGCGTTGGCCGGAGGTGGAGGCGGTGCCGAGGTTGCTGCAGCGTTTGAGGGGATACCGATGGGCGGCGGAGGCGGTTTTAGTGAGTTTGGTGACATGGGTATGCCCCCGGGAGAGAGTGTGGGTCTGGCCCGAGGAGAGAGAGAGTCCCGTGGGGACATCAGTGTGGGTATGCAGGACTTACTGGGACAGATCAGCTTCGCGGACCCGAGTAGTTTCTCCCCTGCCATGCGCGCAGAGGTGATGTTGGGGGCAGAGGGGATGAGGACCGGACACCCCCTGGAGAGACATCTGAGGAGAGGTTGGATAGGCTTGATAGCCGTCGAGCTGCCCTCATGGCACAGAGGGACCCCAGGACGCAGGAACTCGCCCGTCTTGCAGCCGAGGACCGACGGAGACAGTTGGGGACATTTACGCCGGCGTCCGTTGACGTGGGGCCAGCTGCCCACACGGATCCTCCGGCAGAGGTTCACGACACCACGCAGCGGGAGGCAGCTTCAGCAGAGGTATCGAGTACGGGAGTAGATGTTCAGCAGGGATGCACGAGAGCGGGTTGGCACCGACAGAGGAGCCACGTTCGGAGCCGGCGCAGCCTCCTGCCGTCCAACTGAGGCCCGAGAAGACATTGCAGGAGGTCGCGGGCGTGCCTCTGACCGCGGGTTCAGTTGAGGGTGTCGTGCAGATGTCCCCGGGTCTGGAGGACATACAGATGGGGCAGTCAGCGGGCGTTGATGATATTCGCCCATCGGCACAGGCGGAGGGGATAGCGCCGACCACCGGGGGGGACGGGGCCGTAGCGGGGGCCGTTGGTGTTGGCGGGTCGGGGGTGCCGTCCACGGCCGATCCAATGTCCACGTCTGGCGGGGGGGACCCCGCACAGGTGGACAGACGTGACGCGGACAGACAGGAGATGCCACAGACTTTGGTGGTTCGCACTGCTGTGGGGCCAATGGTGCTGCATCAGGCACCGTTTTTGGAGGGTTATAGGCGTCGTGCACATGGCAGGGACCCGGTCGAGGAGCGACGTGTAGGCAGGGGCGCGTGCATACCCTCGGTCCCTACTTTTGCGCCGTCACGGACGAGGCCGGAGATTAGGCATGTGGCTACGCCTCGGGGCAGCCTCCCTTTTGGTTTTATGGCCGCTGAGGAGTTGGAGGACCACGGCAGGAGGGATTTGACGGAGATCCACCAGCGCGTTTTGAGGTCAGTCCTGGAGGAGGGGAAGCTGCCTCATGTGCAAGACTTATCTTGGGGGCCAGCCAGCCCGAGCTTACCTTCTGGGTGTTCCATCGCAGCGCCATCTGGCGGGGCTGCAGGGGGCTTACCTTCTGGAGGTTCCGTCACAGCGGCATCTGGCGGGGCTGCAGGGGACTTACCTTCTGGAGGTTCGGTCGCAGCGCCATTTTGAGGTGCCGCAGGCCCTTCGTCACCCTTGACCGCAGCTCCGAGGGAGGGCGACAGTCTCACCCCAAGGTCGATTGCCCGTAGACGGAGAGACACTACCTAGCGTGCGCGGGAGTTGCTGGACACCATGTTCTTCGGTCGCACAGATCGACCATGGAGCGAGATGAGACGGGTGACGATGGCGAGTGTCGGTCGTCAGCCATGTTTGAGAGGGGCTTCCACGGCCATGAGACGTCGAAATGTTGTAGCTTCAGGGTTTGGTGGTAGAGGCGGTGGCGGCGGTGGCAGCGGTGGCCAGGGCGACGACATACTTGAGGGTGCAGGCGGTGCCGCAGCGAGCGCAATGGATCCGCCCTTGACGTACGGTTTGAGAGAGGCGTCGATTATTTTGCAGGAGCCTGACGTTGTTACACGACAGAGGCAGGAGAGACACGTGCCCTTAGATCGACGCCAGGAGGGGGAGACTTCAGGGACAGACGGTCTACCTATGGCACGCGAGTCACGCCGACGTGATGACCTAGCAGAAGCAGGTGTAGGCAGGACGTTGAGAGGCAGGAGACTCATTATGGACGACGACCCCGACGAGTGTCCCGTCGCTCCTGAGCCTTCCGCTGGCAGACGAGGCGGCCAGCGTCAGAGAGATCGAGGGCGTGGCAGTGGTCGGAGGGGAGGTGGCGGTTCTCATCGGTCCGAGCGAGATCCGCGTGCGCACAACGATCGTTGACGGATCACGGACTTGCGTTTTCATGATATTCTGAGTGTACTTTTGTTTTTTGTTATCCATGACAGACGTAGTGTCTCGTGAGGTTGTATTATAGTCTACTTTCCAGTGGGTACTTTTCTGCCCAGACGTAGTATTTCGTGATGTTGTATTCTAGTCTACTTTCGTAGGAGTACATGGCCATTTCGTTCGAGTTTAGTTTTTTGTTATCCATGACAGACGTAGTGATTCGTGATGTTGTATTATAGTGTACTTTCCAGTAGGCACTTTTCTGCGCAGTTTGCTACTTCGGAGATTATAGCTTTCCAGTGTATTTTAGTGTACTTTTCGTCGGCATTTTTGGGTTGGTACTTTTTTCCACAGACTGGCGGGGCTTCGACACGATGTGTCAGATTTTTGCTATTATCAATGCTATAGTGGTTTGCGTTTTGCTTCGATCATTACATCTTGTCATTTGCGATGTTTCTGCTTTTAGACGACGAGTGTTTTGTGTGCTTTGAGTCTGCCCTTGGTTTCTCTGAAATCTCTCTTCCCCTGAAGTGCTTCCAGGCTCCTCATAACCCAAACCATACCGTAGCCCCCCCTGGCCCCCCCCCCCCCCCCCTGGCCCCGAACCCCCCAAACCACCTTTTTTTTTTTTTTTGGCTTGCAACCCTTTTTCAAAATTGCTCTAACCGCTTGTTTTGCGCTTAAAAAATAAATAAAGAAAACAGATATTTTGGGGGAAAAAATAAACGAAAGGTCGCAGTTTGTGTGTCTGTGTGAATGTGATTATGTGTGTGTGTAAATGGGTGGCGCAGTTTGGGGGGTTGTACGTGTTGGCGAAAAAAAAAAAAAGTGCCCGTGTGTATGCGACGGTGTGAATTTGTGTGTGCATGTGCGTGTGTGAATTTGTGTGTGTGTGTAAATGGGTGGCGTGGTTTGGGGGGTTGTAATTGTGGGCGGGGAAAACAAAAAAAAAGGTCCTCGGGTGGCGCAGAGGCACGGTCGGAGGGGAGGTGGCGGGAGTGGGTGGCCCTCCGTTGGGTGGGGATAGGGGTGTCGGGGCTTGGCAGGTGGCGGTTTTGGGGGTGGGGGCCGTGGGGCGGGGGGGCTATCGGGTGGTCCCCGGGGGACGGTTTTCGCACTCTGGGGGTCTGTTGAACTCGAACCACCACCCCGTAGCCCCCGTCACGCGCGCACACCCCGCGGGACCGCGTTCAATTTTTTCGCACGCGCACGCGCGTAGCGCGTTTTAACGCGATTGAACGCGAGGCAGGGGGGTATGAACGCGCGCGTTTGAACGTGAACGCGCGTTCACGACGTTCATACGGTTACACAGGCTTTGTCTGCGCCAGATGTGTAAAAGTCTTGTGTTAGGAAGCCAACCTCTTTTCTGATTGCATGTTTATGTGTGTCTATAGGGTTGGTACTTGGAAATCTGTGAAAGACACTGTTGAGGATGCGTTGCAAGTGTTGGCTTGCATTTTTGATCTGGTTTTGTGGGATGGGTTGTTGCTGCTTGATGATATCTCAAATCAGTTTTGGGGAGGGCTATGTCATGTTGGTCATGAGGTTCTGGGTATGGGATTGGTTTGTTGATATAGATTTTTTTATTTTGTGGAATTCGGTTGGATAGGTAGTTATGGTATATATTTTTATAATATATATGCTGGTTTTGTCTGGTGTGATGGGATATGAGTGTGTGTGTGTTAGTGTGAGGGTATTGGGGGACATAGAATGTTCTTGAAATTACTCATCCATCTGGGAAAGGACGACTCAAGACTCATCCGGAACAAGACATGCCCTTCAACTCCAGTCAGTACTGCGTCAACATCAGAACGGGTACACTCAAGGGAGGGCAAACGGGAGAAATACCTAAAATTGTGAAAAAATCCCGACTGAGCGGTTCCTCTTCCATACTACCTGCATACATCGAACCAGCAACGACTTGCAAGACTCGTCTACATCAAGATTCCTAATAACCAATGCGCATAGACGTCGGATTTCGGCTTTACGAAAAACGTCATTATATGTAATACACACAATCAGTTTCTTCCTCACCGGTAGTCTAAAACGCAGAGAAATCTGCTTAGACAAAATCAAACGAAGTCGAAAACGTGACTTCTTCTCCGAAAAACAATAAATAGCAGAAAAAGTTGAGATAAGCGAAGACAAATCCCAAGAAATCAGATAACGTCTACTGGACGGATTGCTAAGAAAGGAGTCAAAATAGGCAACAGCAAAACGGTACAATAGACGAGAAAGAAATAACAGCCCCATCTACCAACCATCCTTCCGACGCCCGAAGCAGATCCTTCCCAAAAGCACCGCAAACCATGGAAGACCCATACATCCTTCTGACGATTTTTCATCGATCGACCAACTGTCTGCCACCTTTACATCAATAATCTTGTCAATGTGAGAGTTGATGCAATACTTGAGACTGTGTAACAGACTGAACGAAGAAATCCCCACCGACGAGGTAAAAAACAAAGGATTGTCATTGCTAGGTGAAGAACAAGTCTGAGAAGCGGTCAACGACAACACCCGAGAACGCAACCCTACCCCTCTCCGTCTTACCAGCGCGCCTCCGTCGACATCTTTGAGGGCGTTTTCTCGCATTCAAAGCAGGAGAAAAAAAACGAATAAAAAACCTCTCAGCAGTATTAAGATCCTCAGCAGAGCAACGACAAAGGGGCATGGCAACGTAGCTAGCAACTCCACACCTTCGTAACAACCCATACAACCTCTCGTTCTGAAGTTCTTTACCAATCAAAGAACTGCTAGAAGCAGGGTAAACATGTTCTCCGCACCTAAAATGAATGTCCCTGTTGGTGCACCCCACATAACAATTCTGTCAAGCGAGCATATCTGATAAGGAGTTGCATTTTATCTATCCTGAGTGTCGGGAAGCGGGCTCGGGGTCAGTACCGTAAGACGAAATCTTTGACCCCCAAGGCCGAGGTCGTTAAGTAACCACGATAATTAATACGGCACGCGCGGCGAAAACAAAATTGGTTAGTAAAAGTTAACGGCCTTCTGCCGCAAGGGCAAATAGGGAGTCGCGTAGGACGCGACGACAACACACCGATTGGTTAGTAGAGTCCGACTATAGTAATGAGAGAAGTTAGTCATAGGCATAAAATACGGCAGAGAGTAGGAAAGAGGCAATATATTCCACCCTCGCCCGGGTATAATTAATGTAAGCCCCAGCCTTATGGCCAGGGTGACCGAGAAGGGCATGATGCCTATCTTAACAGGAAGCAATGGCTAGTAAAAGGCCTAAACTAGTTTTAGATAGCAGACTGTGGTCTTGTTATATCAATAGAAGTCGGCCATATACTCTCAAATTAGCCAAATTACCAAGAAATAGTTCCAAGACACGAGTGAGAAATCGATGTATTTTGACAGGATGATCTCGTTCCGTATATAAATTATTTCGTGTTTCTCGTATAGTTTTCCGTGAATTAGCATCCAGAGGTGCTTTATATGGCATAAATAAGTCTCGGTCACATCCACTCCGGGATCCAAGGGAGTTGTTCCTTCAGGCTGTGTAGAGTAAAACCTGCTTAGGCTAAGCAGATACCTAGACCCCTTCCCTACTGGCGAAGTAGCCAGTGCTTTCCTGTTACCAGGTCTCTTTCGAGTTAGGCAGGTACTAGAAAAACCATCATTTATTTGCACACAAATGACTGAAGCTTTGAAAACATATATGCAAATTTCCCTAAGCTTCGCCCTTTTTTTTTGTTTTCCTTTTTTCAGTTATCAAATTTGGTGTTTTGTTATTCCTAGTTGTTACAAAACACAAAGGGTCCAATGGACAAAATTGTTTTATTTGAGTGTAATTTCTTTCTTGTTGGTTTTTTTTCTTATTTATTATTGGGTAGTTCCCATTATTTGGAACTTGTTGTTGAACCTTAAATACAACATCTACGAATTTACTACACATTCAGTTACAACCGAAGATTTATGATTATATTTTGTTAACTGTTCGTATTTTGTTTGTTTCATCAAATGCAACAAAAATGCTAAGAATGAAAAAATAATGACCTATTTCAACATACATGTCCTTAGTACATTTAATTTCAATTTCAAATTAATCGCTTGAACAATGACTCAACCGGTTTTTGATTGAATAACTATAAAAAGATAGGATAAACTGTCGTGTTTCTATCAGAAGAAAAATCAAAGTTAACAACAAAAAGCTACTACTTATGGCAGGGATGCTCTTTTTTTAAGTGAATTAGGAGCTAGCCCAATAGGTATAGGTGTGAAATGATATGCTAGAGATTTGGGGTTCAAGCCCATCTTTCTTTTGGCTATCTCTTTTTGCAGCACGCCCGACCACCACTTCGAACCGCCTTAATACGGCAGGGCTCGAACTCGTGACCACTGAGGAAAGACTGCCGAATTTGGGCTTCCCTGTGTCTCAGGAGCCGACGAATGTCAGTACGGGACGCAACGAAAGGAGTTCAGTTAAAATTTCTTTATTTTTCTCTTTTGTGTTTTTATCAAAATTTGTTATTTTTCTATGGGGGTTCATTCTCTACATTGCCTGAGTTATGCGAAAAGGTTCATGGGTGGTTGGGAAAAGGAAGCGAGGCAGACACTCATCGAACATTGTGATGGCGCGCTGTACGAGGGAACAATCTCCAACGACTTGAGAGTGCAAGCAAACGATAAACCTCGAACGAACACTCCACCATGCACCCGTATCCTGCCCACTACCACAGTCAGATTCACCTTTCACGAGTACATGCAGAATGTATGTTAGACCAGGAAGACATAGGTGAAAATCTTTGCTGATGTTAGATATTATTATTATTGTTATTATTGTTGTAGTTATTTTATCCTAAATTGTTAATAATACCAGGAATGAATCTGCCTAGATTAGAGAGGCAGATTAAGGTCTGTCTCTTATACACATCTAGATGTGTATAAGAGACAGCCCGTATCCTGCCCACTACCACAGTCAGATTCACCTTTCACGAGTACATGCAGAATGTATGTTAGACCAGGAAGACATAGGTGAAAATCTTTGCTGATGTTAGATATTATTA